GTACATAAATACTGTTTGTCTGAAATACTTGCGAAAGAAGTTGAATAAACTGATCTTAAGCCTACTTGCATATCGATGAAAATTAGGTTACATAAGTGGCCTTTAGCTTATTTTGACAACATTCCCTACCGTATTAATTACAGTTTTTTGTTATGTGATATGACATCATGCGCAGTGACGTTCTTCTCCCCATATGGCGACTCCTTCCTATACCTTATACCTCACGTTGTCATAAATGTATAGTGTGTATATCATCCGTTGGTTGGAAGGAACTGCGTATTTTTCTGTTGTCTGTCTGCAGTCTTACAATGTGCTCATTCAAAACAATTTAAAAACAGTTTGGTGTTTCTCGGCGCTAATATTAACTATATTTGTCATACCTGGTAAAGTCCAGTGTGTGTTTCTTCCAGGTTTGATTTATTCCTTCAGTCCAGTGGCCAGTTAGTCGTAGTCATAGGTCCTCGCCCTTATACGTTATACATTTTAGTATATGTTTCTTTTAACATCCTTCTTAAACATGTTATTAGGTGCTATGAAAAGTACGGCTGTGAGTATGAAGATGACAATCTTTTGGGGTGTTGGACTGTGTAGCCTGGTGAAGTTTTTTGACGTTACAGACGTATGTTTGCCCCCATTATCAGGAGGCAGCAAGCACCTCTTAAACATTGCTAAACTTAAACCAGTTTTAGTACTGCAAAATCCCATAAGATAAGTCATCTTGTTGATACATATTGCTATAAGTTTTATGTTAATGGTTTGGATTTTAATTTATATTTGTAATTAAGTGTATTTTTTGTTTTGTAACTAGCATTTCATCAAAAAAAATTTAACTAGTGTAAAGTCTTGTTTTTACTTACAGTTTGGTATGTTCAAGTGCCACTTAATAGTCACTATATACTTTCAGGACCAGAACATATATTCCAAGTACAAAAAACTCTCTTAATGAAACAACTATAATTCAACTATTCAAATTACGGAGCTGTATCAGGAGGTTTCTTGTAAGCCATTCTTTTACACAACCAGCAAACCATAATGTCTGATGAACAAGTTTTAGACTTGCAAAAGAATTTGCATTCTGTTTCAACAAGAGTCCCAAAAATTATAGTGCGGAGAGTTGAAGAAATGTTTCCTTCTCTGAAAGAAGGCTTGGTGAGTACAATGTGCTTGTTTGTGAAGAAACAGATTTTATTATCCCATAGTCAAGTGGTTTTACAATTAGCAGGAAAGCTGCCAATTTGTTAGAATTGTGACATCACCACATAAGCATTTACCTTGACCAGTTGTAGGCTCTATGAACACAGTAATGAATGTTCTGGTTTCATAAATGTTAGGGATTTTTCAATTGTCTGAGCAAGTAATACCTTCTGAAGGAACACTTAAGTCAATTGATTTATTTATTCTGTTTTTTTGGAAAGCTGTTAAGAAATAAAATATCTGTCTCACATTGTAGTATGTGTATATCCTGTGAATGTTCCAGTTATGATTCATCATAAATTTGTTAATGGTTTTTTCAGGTCCCACATGTTGAGTCATGCTAGTATTAATATATTTGACATGCTTCAATTTTTTTGACTGTTGAATGATTTATGTGAAGAAACAATCCTTAGTGTTATATACAAATAACTTAGAATAACTGATTAAATGTTTCATGAAAAGAGATTTTGAAACAATATATTTTGTATAAAGTGAAGCTTTCGCGGCAAACGAAGTTGATGAAAGACTCTCATCAGATGGCTGAGCGAACCATATATTTTAGAACATTTTATAATGATTCTGATAATTGTAAATAAGTCAATTTGTATATAAAAAGAAAGTTATCAGTTTGATCCAATGCTAAACAGTTGTAATGAAGTGTATCTTACATGATGTAATGAGACATCACAGTCATGTGAGTGATAAGGTTGTGGTGGTTTTTCAGAGCTCTGTCAATTTACTGGAAAATGTACCTGGTTCATACAGTGAGACATGTCTCAGAAAAATTGAGGTCATTCATATAAAAGTTGAAGAGGTTACAGATATGCAAGAAGAGGAGGAGGATCCTGTTTCAGTAGGATTTCCAGAAATAAAGACTGAACATGAGGTTAGTTTTGTGTCTCTTTGTCTGCTGTTGGGGCACATTTCACAGATATACAGAACTGCCTATTTTCTTTTTTTCTTCCACATGAAGCATATCTGCTGTGGTGAATGTTATTTTAAAGAGACCTTTACGTATGTCTCGGTATTATTTTAGTTGACATTGTTTGGTGAGTACTAATTCCATTTTATCTTCAATCATTTTTAGTGGAAAAAAATTAAATATTGAGTGAATTCTGTAATCTTCCAGACAAAATAGCCACAAAACCTTCCATATTATTCCAATCCCTTGCAGTAAGTTTTGTTTCTGCACTGCATCCTGCCATTTGAATTTTTCATACAATTTTGAGTAACTGTGAATGTATGAAGATTACCATTTATTACTTCCTTTACATTTATACTGTCTGTATCTCTAAAGTAGTAAAGTTGCTGTCACAGTTATGAATATGAATCAAAATAAAGCAGCACACAATTATCTAATTTTTTATTTTGTGATTTGATTTTTTACTGTACTTATTTGATAAATAGTACAATTTTTGTAATGCAATAATTATTTATCTCATTTATACTTTGGTTTCAAATTATTCTTCTGTCTATAAAGAAGTATCAGGCTATTTCTATATTTCTGTTACCAGGTCACTGTGAATGAAGATCTGTATTCCTGTGATGTGTGTAGTAAACCATTCAGCAAAGAGAGTGATCTGAAGAGACATCAGTGCATACACAGTGGGGAGCATCCATTTTCCTGTGATGTATGTAATAAGCCCTTCAGTCACAGGGGTCACCTTAATGTACATCGGCTCATACACAGTGGGGAACGTCCATTTTCGTGTGACGAATGTAATAAGTCGTTCAGCCAGAGGGGTCATCTGAATGTGCATAAACTCGTACATAGTGGGGAGCATCCATTTTCTTGTAATATGTGTGATAAATCATTCAGTCACAGAAGTAATCTCTTGAGACATCTGTGTATACACAGTGAGCAGCATCCATTTTCCTGTGATGTGTGTAATGAATCATTCAGTCAGAGGAGTGATCTGAAGAGACATCTATGCACACACAGTGAGGAGGAGCGTCAATTTACCTGTGATGTATGCAATAAGTCGTTCAATCGAAGGAGTAATCTGAAGAGACATCTATATATACATACTGAGGAGTATCCATTTTCCTGTGATATTTGTAATAAATCATTCAGTGGGAGAAGTGATTTGAAGGTACATCAACGCACACATAGTGGGGAGTATCCATTTTCCTGTAATGTCTGTAATAAATCATTTATGCGGAAGAGTGTTCTGAAAGTACATCAACGTATACATATTGAGGAGCGCCCATTTTCCTGTAATGTATGTAATAAATCATTCAGACAGAGGAGTCATCTGAATGAACATAAAGTCATGCATAGTGGGGAACGTTCATTTTTCTGTGATATATGTAAGAAATCATTCACTCGGAGGGGTAATCTTAAGGTACATAAAGTCATACACAGTGGAGAGCGTCCATTTTCCTGTGAAGTATGTAATAAGTCATTCAGCCAGAGGAGTGTTCTGAAGATACACGAACTCATACATAGTGGAGAACATCCATTTTCCTGTGATGTGTGTAAGAAATCATTCAATAGACACAATGATCTGAAGAGACATCGTCGCATACATAGTGAGGAGTGTCGGTTTTCCTGTGATATCTGTAATAAATCGTTCACTCAGAGCAGTCGTCTAAAGGAACATAAACGCACACATGATGGGGATCGTCCATTTCCTGTGATGTGTGTAATAAATCATTCAGTTTTCAGAATGGTTTGAAGAAACATGAACTTGTATGTAGTGGGGAGTGTTAATTTTTCTGTGATGTGTGTTATAAAGCATCTGGTGATCAGTGATATGATGAATCATCAGCACATTAGTAGTATATTGTGTCTTTTTTATTATTGTTGTTATTAGTGTATATAACGCATAATTCAGTTAGAATCATTAATCCTGTAATGAGCATACATGTTCCCCTGATTGGTGTCAGACATGATTGAGTAATTGGTAGTCTGCATTATGCAATCATATTTCAGTGGGTGTAATTATTTCAGCAGTCAGAATAATCTGTAGATTCATGAGAACATATAAGCTGCCTAATGTCATTATTATTGTGATATGTGTAACAAATTTTTCCATTATCTGAGTTTTTGTTGACATGTATATAGCTCATGTAGTGGAGAGCATCCGTAGTGCTGTTATATGTAAGATATTTCTCTTTCACCAGAATCTCACTGAATATCAACTCATACTTATCTGATTTGTACAGAAATATATTCCTGAGAAACTGTGTGTGTTAATTTATAGTGGAAAGAATTTGTAGTCCTAAGGGAGTGAAATTTAAAATTAGTAACATCTCCAAATGACATGGTCTGATGCAAGTTTACCAGTGTTTTATAGGTCCTCGCTGCCATATTGTACAGTGCTGCAATCAAGAAGACACCCATCTTGGAAAGGGGGAACTTGTGAATCATATTAGTTTATGTTTGTATTCACAATTATGTGCAAGGCTGGGAAAGTGTAAAATGTGCTGGAAAACACTGAGCTTCCACATGTTATTTGACCTTTGCATACTGACTACACTTGGCTGACATAAAAAACATATCGTACACATGCTGTTCAATCATTGCCGTAAGCTGGCCCGCATAAAGTGTGTGCCAGGCCATCCAGATGCCTAGAATGTTCATGATTTCTCCTAGGATTTTTTAAATGTAATTTATGTTGTATTTGCATGTTATACAATAACATTTTCAGGCTCATGTCATATAGTCCCAGATCTCTTTTATAGATGGCAGCTTCAGCATTGGTGAATAAATGTGGTTGGTGTTATTTCCATTTCTGATTTATTTGTGAGTATCCTGATGCCTAATTTTTGAAGATGGTTCATGAATTTATAGGAAATTTGTGCAGGCCTGACCATAGGTATTATCCACATATGTACAGTAATATATTGTAGATGATGTAAAACTCTGTAGTTTAAATATAAGATTTATTCCTGCCTGCTTTTCTTCTTATTCAGGAAAGAAGGTAGAGCATGTTGCCTTACATTTTCTATACATTCCACAGTTATCACTGTTATTAATGAAATGCATGAACATACGTTTCTAATGTTTTTTCTTTCATATAATTTGTCAGAATTGATTAACTTTGTTTCTAAAAGGCAATGTATATCCTATGATGCATATTGAAATGTTACAACCTCTTATGTATAAAAAGTTGTCTATAAAACAATGTTAATATCTGTCTTCACAAATCATGTGTTCATAACAACTCTTAAGGTAACATTAAAAAAATATTGTTATCAACTATGTCATTTCTGAGGAACCCTGTGTCATAATGTTTCTATTTTTGTTCATGTCAAGACCATGGTATTTACATTGTAGAAGGCGTTCGTTAAAAGTAGTTTCTGTGGTCACTGATTGGTGGCAGAACGAACTCTCTGACTGAGACCACGGTAGATAATAGAAAATGACACTTGTTCTGCACCGAACTCTGAAGCGTAAAGAACAAAAAAGTACAAATGTTTCGTGCCAATCACATATCCCCATATTGGTTTTGGTCTTCAGAGGTTTATGCAATCCCTTGAGGGCATCAGGGCTGAACATAGAGGCTTTACAAGGTAGAAGAGAAAAACTGCTTGTGCACAGGGATAGTTTTAAGGGATATAGAAAATGACGGTATTAATGCTTCGGTTCTAAGCACGGTTTATATCAGATTTTCATGTGCGAGTTCTGCCCTGCTAATTAGCACTCGTAGCTAAATTTTAATCGGAATGGGGTTATTGTGCCTGCGAAGATCGATCGACTACAAATTTTCGTTTGAATGTCCTGGAATGACGTTGGTGTGCCTGTAATGGCGGGAAGACGTTTTATAACGTGTTGTATCGTTACAGGGCCTGCCTAATTTTCGTTTTCTTAGTAATGTTTACAAGGAAGGTGCCGTATTGACATCTGATATCAGGAGCGTTTTAATATATTGTTTACACAGGTACGTAAATGGTGTCACCTATCACAGTCATAGCTGTAAATGTTATTAAACGTGCAGACGTAACCAATCCTTCACTCAGTAGTGTGTATGGGCATGCAAGTAGACTACATTGTGTTATCTGGGGGGAATCAGCTTCCAGCACAATACAGTTTTATTCTTATCTCCCGAACCTGTCACTGAATTAAAATTCCACGGGCTCAAAATGTAACTACCCCATTTAACTTACCAAATCGTAATTTTAATTAAAGACAAATGCGTGGGAAGGAGCTTGAATTAACATTGCATTTAGCACTACATTGTCTCAGCAGTTCTGTTAATTACATTCAGAATATGTCCAAAATAGGATAATACACTGTTTAATTCAGCACCTTATAATACATTGGCACGTATAAAGTGTTCTGAACTTAATATTTCTTGGGACAAAATATATGTTTTGTTTTCTAGAGGCCTAAAAAATTATCACAATCCGAATAAATATTCTTAAAGAAGTGGAAGATCAGTATTACATCTTCATATAGTGGCATGTTTTATGGTTGAGGTGGATCCTAGATGTTTTACTTTTATTATTTTGCTGTTTACTTATTCCATTAACACTTTTGGTTTGTGTGTTACAGTACCACACATTCTAATGCTTGCTGACTTCAGTTATGTTGTCTTCACCTCAAGATATCAAAATCTGTACTGATTCTGGTCAGAGAAAAGCTTCTCACGCTTTCCAGTCAGTATGTATGTTACTTATAGTTTTAGCGAATTCTGATCTGAGCTCAATGTGGTTACTAGACTGTGGCAGTATATGCAACTTTTGTTACAGATAGTAGTGGTTTATATCTTGCCATGTGCATGTGTCTGTTCCTTTAGCATGTGCTAATTTCAGAGTGTTAAGTTCATGGTAGGAACAGGATTTTTATCTGATGTCATATTGAGGCTGGCTCAGTAAACCACCAAGCCTCCTATACAGTCATTACAAAGTTCTGATTTTTTTGGTGGTAAAATAAGTGAAGTCTGAAGCTGACCTGCCTCTAGCACCAAGGTTAAGAATGTATGGTTCTTTATTTTTATGATAGACCTAAAATGATTGATTTATAGGTTATGTGATGCTGCTGTATGAACATTTGTCATTTTTCTTTGAGTTTGTCTGAGAAAAGGGTAATTTTTGTTATCACATTACAACAATATAGGTTATTTCCTATGGATCACTTACCCAGGAAATTAGCATTTTTATTTGACACCTAAGATGTTTAGTACATGTGACATAATTTGTCAATGCCAATATTTTCTTCTGGGTGCTCACATTTTTTTTTATCAAAAGTAGGTGCTTTTGCCATATAGATACTGATTTTGATGGATACTTGATTGAATTTTGTGTCATTCTGTGGATGTCAAAGTTTGTAATCAATGCCTACTTGTCTGTTAGTTAACAGTTTCTTTGCACTTATTTCACAATTCAAAGTGTACATAGTTGATTGGCACAAAATTAAACATTTATTTTTGTATAGCATATTGCTACCCAAGCTAAAGAAATGAGGTATTTATCTCAAGACATTCAGATTTGTCAACAACTTAAAAAGTATCACTTAATATTATAGTCAGTAATACACAGTTAATATGGGGATGTCTATACATTAATTGTTAGCCACAGTTTGTGGAAAATTAATAAACACTTAATTGTAATAAAATAACTTAAGTCTCCTTGATTCATTTCTTCCAGGAATATGGAAGACTGTCTGAAGGTTTCTCCATTGCAATCAAATCACCTAATAGTTCCTCTCCCGACATATTTTGGAGCTCATCTGGTAGCAGTGATATAGATATAATTTTAAGATCTCATGCACATCATCGAGTTGTGACACGGCTTGATTTTGACTCCTGTGTGGTCCGGAGTCCGGACGCTTGCCGTCAGTTGCGAGCTCGGGTGAGTCGCAACGTGATTAATGTGGAGAGTAGAGACAGTTTTTTGCATCACCCTGCAGTCAGTCCCTCAGAACACAGTTGTGGGCAGATGTCTAGGGATGCAGTAGTTGCCAGTAATGTAAATCCCCAGGTTGAAATGAAGCGAGAGGATTCTGAATCTTTAATTTGCAGTGATAGAAAATTTTCTGGAAATGTGGTACATAATTTTAATGTACCATCTGAAAAGGGATTTTCTCTTCAAGAGTCTCCAGACCACATTTCTGGAACAGGAAATGCCAGTAGTGCCATAGAATCCTCTCTAATTATTGGAAATAAAACAATATCCCAAAGAGAGAGATATTTTCATGATAGAAATAGTTGGAGGAAAAGAAGAATGAGAAAGGTTAATGGTTGCTTCCAGCCAAGCCAACTCTGGCAGGAACATGCAACATCTCGCTTAATTGATTTTTGTAAAAGTGGCCGAAAGGGCTCATATCAGTCATACAGGGATATAGAAGCAAAACATGAACTAAGAAATAATTTAATGCCTACTACAGTTGATACAAGTTTGAGTCACAAAATTGCAGAGAATGAAACGTCACCAGTTACTACTCCTCAACAGAATGAAACACCACAAGGCAGTGTCATATCACCTGTTATGAAATGCCGTAGAATATTTCGTAAACAGAGACATTCTGTTGATATATCCCATTTAGAGAAGAACTGTTTCAATATTACAAACAAATCATATCAAGGCACTTTACAAGTTAACGATAATGAGTTAAGAGAAGGGGGTGCAGCAGAAGATACAAGTACAAATCTGATCACATCACCTTCATCTCCTAT